TTCTGACAGCCCTGGGGACGGGTGTGTCACCTCTGACGGCCCTGGGTACAGGTGTGTCACCTCTGACAGCCCTGGGGACAGGTGTGTCACCTCTGACAGCCCTGGGACAGGTGTGTCACCTCTGACAGCCCTGGGGACGGGTGTGTCACCTCTGACAGCCCTGGGGACGGGTGTGTCACCTCTGACAGCCCCGGGACAGGTGTGTCACCTCTGACAGCCCTGGGGACGGGTGTGTCACCTCTGACAGCCCTGGGGACGGGTGTGTCACCTCTGACAGCCCTGGGACAGGTGTGTCACCTCTGACAGCCCTGGGGACAGGTGTGTCACCTCTGACAGCCCTGGGACAGGTGTGTCACCTCTGACGGCCCTGGGGACGGGTGTGTCACCTCTGACAGATCTGGGACAGGTGTGTCACCTCTGACAGCTCTGGGACAGGTGTGTCACCTCTGACAGATCTGGGACAGGTGTGTCACCTCTGACAGCCCTGGGGGACAGGTGTGTCACCTCTGACAGCCCTGGGACAGGTGTGTCACCTCTGACAGCCCTGGGGACAGGTGTGTCACCTCTGACAGCCCTGGGACAGGTGTGTCACCTCTGACGGCCCTGGGGACGGGTGTGTCACCTCTGACAGATCTGGGACAGGTGTGTCACCTCTGACAGCTCTGGGACAGGTGTGTCACAGCAGGCCTGGCCTTTTTCTGACAGCAAAGGACTCCAGGAACACATTCTGACACTGGAAGTAAAGCTCCCAACAAATGCGAGGGGTTCTGGAAAGGGAGAGCATGCGAGTCCCAAGGAACCCGTGACCCCAAATAGACTGCGTCCGTTTGCATTAGGTGAGGGAGTTCACGAGGAATTTTTGACTCCAGAAATGGGTAGGGGTGTCACACCTGGTGCTCCCCTGGGGATAAAGAGGAGTCCCTAAGTGTTTATATAACAAAACCCTCTAGGCTGGGACGTTCTGGCGTGAGACGAACATGCCTGTGACACACCTCACAGTAAGCAGCGTGGCCTCGGCCTCCTCCGTCTGCAGGTTAGCTCTGCGCTGCCGATGCAGCTCTGCGCTGCCGATGCTAACCCAGCGCAGCAACTCGTTCTAGCTCTGTGGCTGCCGATGCAAAGCTCTGTGGCTGCCAATGCTAACCTAGCACAGCAACTAGCTCTAGCTCTGCGCTGCGGATACTAACCCAGCGCAGCAACTAGTTCTAGCTCTGCGCCTGCCGTGGACTTCTCTACTTGGAAAGCAAGCTAAGGACGTTAAGGCTGTGTGAAATGATCGTTGTCTGTTAGTTAGCTATAAAGTTTCCTAAGAAGAGGAAAAAGGAAGGGTGATGGGAGGTACCTGAGGTAAGAACTCTGAGGTAAGAACTCTCTCGCCAGGTCTAAGGCCTTTCTATAGGCAGCATCGCCCTCCTGGTTCTGCTCGAGGACGTGGCTGACCAAGCCCACTGCTTTGGCTTCTTGGCCATCGAGCACCCGTGCAGAGAAGATGAGCTCCTTGGCCAGGGACATCCCAATGGCACGTGGCAGGCGCTGCGTCCCCCCTGTGGAATAGAGGAGAGAGAAAATGCAGGCAATGATCTGCTACCCGTTAGGTCTAACATTTCAAAATTTCACTTCTTCATTTATAAAAATAAACCAGGGCCATAAGTTTGTATGTCAAAATGAGTAACTGGAAAACTAATTCAATCTCTTAATCTCTATATATAAAAGCCTAAGTGACTGTTAGGACTGAACAACTGGAACGATGGGAATGACCGGTCGACCAGTTGCTATGATGTGCACTGACCACCAGGGGCAGACGCTCAACGCAGGAGCTGCCCCGTGGTGGTAAGTGCACTCCTACAGCCAACCTCCCGTAGTCCCTCCCCCTGGCCGGCTGTGGGGTAATCGGGGGACCCAACCCATGCACAAATTCGTGCACCGAGCCTCTAGTTGGTTTATAAAGCTAACATCAAGAAGCACTTGAGAATCTTCGGTCTTTACCAAGAGACTTGGCACAGGCTGCTCTTTGCAGCGCACCGTTGAGCTCCCGAATGGAACCCAGTCCTCACCAGCAGGAAGCAGGTACACATGGGGCCAGCTCACTGCGCCTCGGCCATGCACGGGGGATCGAGGACAGGCCCATCGGCTTAGGTAAAACTCATCGATTCTGAGAAATTCAGCTCATGTGCTTTTAAAGAATCATTTATAGTAAATGACATGTGAACTAATTCTGATTTAATGAACATAAAAGCAGACAGTTACTCATAAAAATGGGCTTGGTGCTGAGTTATTGTTCAGTGCGAGCACTGACTGCCTGACACTGCAGTTGGGAACTCATTTGAGAGAAAGTGGGACAAGAGCAGGCACTATTCTCAAGAGACAAATGAAAAGATGCTCAAAGTCACTGATCATCAGAGAGATGCAAATTAAAACCTCAATGAGATACCGCCTCACAACTGCCAGAATAGCTACCATCAACAAACAACAAATGCTGGCAAGGACGTGGAGAAGAGGGAACCCTAGTGCACTGCTGGTGGGAATGCAGACTGGTGCAGCCACTGTGGAAGACAGTATGGAGTTTCCTCAAAAAATTAAAAATGGAACTGACCATTTGACCCAGTGATCCCACTTCTAGGAATATATTCCAAGAAACCAGAAACACCAATCAGAAAGGATATATGCATTCATAGCAGCACAATTTACAATAGCTAAGATCAGGAAACAGCTTAAGTGCCCATCAGCAGATGAATGGATTAGAAAACTGTGGTACATCTACATGATGGAATACTATGCTGCTATAAAAAAGAAGGAACTCTTACCATGCGACAGCATGCATGGAACTGGAGAGCATTATGCTAAGTGAAATAAGCCAGTCAATGAAAGAAAAATACCACATGATATCACTCATTTATGGATAATAAAGACCATTATAAACTGATGAACAAAAATAGATACAGAGGCAGAGCAGCATTGAACAGACTGTCAAACTACAGCGGGAAGGCTGGGGAGGGTTGGGGGGCGAGGGGGTGGGTAAGAGATCAACCAAAGGACTTGTATGCATGCATATAAGCATAATCAATGGACATAAGACACTGGGGGGTAGGGGAGGCCAAGGGAATGTCAACGGGGGGGGGGAAGGAGACATATGTAAT